ATATATAGGATATATAGGCTATACATAAAGGCAATAAATAGAGAGAGAGAGAGAGAGAGAGAGAGAGAGAGGGAGAGAGAGATATCATTTGTGAAAATAATATTAGTTTATCTAGATTTATTGACTATAAAATCACAACCAAACCTACACACACTAGAACTTACGTCAACCACAATATGTTAATATACACACAACCAAACCACACATTCACACATTGAGTCTATCGTAACCACACATTAACACACAACAAACTAACTCTATTTCAATATCATAAGCCAGACCTCTACTAAATAATTTCTAATTCTAGATCTATAATGATAATATTACTGATATAATCTGGCATGGAAGAGATAATACAACAAACGTTCTTACCGCAGCGCCCGACGATAGCATGGTCCAACTCGATCTAGATCTAGGATCCATACCAGTAGCAAAAAAAATATTTTTTTAGTACGAAAAGGAACAGATTTACTAGCAAGCCTTTCCCTGATAATTGTCAATGTTGTGACTTGGTTGAGTATTAAGAAAAAGAACGTAGATCTACATTCTAGACTATCTAGCTTTGTCCTAAACAAAATTGTTTTATTGTAAACGTAATAAACAGAAAACCACAATGTTTTCTCTCCTAAATCGTTCTAATTATAGCCACACTTTTAGATGACGTCATTTAAAAAAAAATTAAAATTGTATTGAAAGCTCTTTTTAAGACAACAAAGAACCGTATGCTGGGAGCCTCCGATAATAATTTAGTCAATTGGTTGTTATTACTAGTCTCAAAACCAAATTTATATTTACAACTTAAGAAGTAATGAGATATAAATGTATCATTAATACACCGTTTTTAATTTGATTAGACCTAGATCTCGATCTAGATTCCTCTATGTAGAATTGTTGATGTTCAGTTCCCGGCAGTGGCGTAGCCAGGATCGTCTCAAGGGCAGGGGCGGAACTACAGTGCCGCCGTGACCCCGCAATGCGGGGGGGGGGGGGGGGGGGGCCACGCCATTTAGGGGCCCACGGCTGACCATAAAAAAAAAAATTGTTATAAAAAAAAATTCATGCATTTTTGACTTAATGTTTGTTTTGTAAACAAGATTACCGTAGCTGCGGTTGGATTATCTTTATTCTATATACACCACCCCACGTTCATTTTTCCTTCGTTTTTAAACCACTGTGAAAGCCGAGTCCTCTTTCTCCTACAATCAAACTTCTCAAAGATAAGCAAACGTTTAAACAACTTCCATGACTTATTTCCCTTTTTTAAATAGTCAAATAGTGATACTCATAAGCCTCTTTTTAATAGATTTGTACTAATTAAATTAAAAAGCAATTACTTCTCTTTGTTATTATTTGTTTATAAATTACTTACTAAAGAATGACACTGTATAAAAAGAAAATGTATTTAAAATTAATAAAACAAATACAAAAAAAACATAAAAATAAACATGACACGAGACACCATTATTTACAGAAAGCTTTCATGTTTTATATTCTTTTGACCGATATGTTGATAAAGGACTTACGACAGACATAATAAATAACTGCTTTTCACAAAACAGACTAATGCACTTACACACATGACATGATGTTGTAATTTGTTTTAATTAACAAAAACCCACGTATTTCTCAAAACACGAACAGGCCAGCAATAAGTATCCTATGTTCGTATTTTGTGTTTGAGTATATATAAATATATATATATATATATATATATATATATATATATATATATATATATATATATATATATATATATATATATATATATATATATATATATATATATATATACATACATATATAGGCCTATATATTTATATAGAAGGGGGGCCTAAAAAATTTTTTTGCGGGGTGGCCCCTTTTTTCTAGTTCCGCCACTGCTCAAGGGGGGGGGGGGGGTCCAATTTTTACCCGGGGACAAACTTTCGATTTGCACCCCCACTGGTTCCCGGAGTGGCCGCAGGTCGGACTAACATTTAGATGTTAGCCTGTATAGCCTATTAGCCTATAAGCCTATCTATACGATCATCTACCGACTGGATAATTTTAATGAAAGGAATAAAATAATTAAAAAACAACAACAACAACAAACAAACAAGCACTGCCGTTCTGAGACTTTAGCGACGCTTTTCCTGACGAATAGATCTGTCTGAATGCTGTCAAATTTGATTACTTTTTAAATTAAACACAGTAGCGTGCGCGTGAACATCGCCCCCCCCCCCCCCTCCTTCCCCCATTCGTCCATTTAAACGTCCGTGATTGTTGTGGGGGGTTAATATGAGCTGATGTAAAAAAAAAAAAAAAGGAAATGGCATAATTTACGAATGAATCACTAACTAAAGAAAAGAAACACATAAAACCTGAAATGAAAACAGCAAACATTAAAACAATAAGAATAACTTCAAATTGTGTAGTTTAAGTTTTGTTCAAATACACATTTGTACCAAATGGGATTTTCTAAATGTATAAATGTTGCATCTCACAATATTAGAATTGATGATGTTGAGTGTCAGTCAGTTAGATTTTGTTAACGGCAAAAAAAAAAATTCTTTGAATAATAAGCAGAGGCGTATCCAGGTTTTCGTTGTAGGGGGAGCGGAAATAGCAAAAAAAGGCGCCGAATTTGTAATAATTTATATATATATATATATATATATATATATATATATATATATATATATATATATATATATATATAATATATATATATATATATATATATATATATATATATATATATATATATATATATATATATATAAGCTGTATGTTATTGCTTTGATATGATGTAAAATAAATTTAAATTAGCACTCTGAAGAAATTAAAAAAAACACACAATGTAGGCCGACGAAACAAAAAAATATGGAATCACTATAAGCATATATATATATATGTATATATATATATATATATATATATATATATATATATATATATATATATATATATATATATATATATATATATATATATATATATATATATATATATATATATATAAACACACTACAACAAAAAAAAATGAACGCGGCATAATCTGTTTCGTAATTCTTGTAAAAAAAATTACATAATAATTTCTGGGACGTCTATTAAGATTAGCGAAAAGGGGAAATAATCAATATCTTAACATAAATATGTATATGTCTACACATTTTATTATAAATAACAAAACAAATCAATTATTACTTTAGAATCAAATAAAGTAGGTTAACTCTATTCGTTCGTATAAAACTATTTTGTCTACAATCAGAATTAAATATATTATCATCATATATGCTAAAGTATTACAGCATAGTGAAAGTTTTTTAAATCAGAGTTGATATAAAATATAAAAGCCAGCTTCTCAATATAGTTGTAGAACGTTCGGAATAATAGCCTACATTTAACTAAAATATCGGTCTACCTTAAAAATAAACCGGGAGTGATCTCCCCTAAACTTTCTCGAATATTTTTATATAAAATAACAGGGGATGGGAACTCGGGCTATAGACATGATTTTTAATCCATTTTAAATACTTAAAGTTTTAAAAATAGAATAAAATCTCGTAGACAAATTAATTGCACACCAAGTGAACGCGAAATAAAAAAGCGCATAATAGTGCGCAATATTATTAGTACTTTTAAAATTTACATTAGTTTTTTGAGAAATCGGAAGTGGCGTAAATTACTACTTCCAGTCAACGGAAATTACTCAAAATTTAACAGAAGGTAGAGAATTAGATCTTTTACTTACATGTGAAATTTCATTTATCTATCTGAAATAGTACTCAAGTTATAGGCTTTTAAAAAATTCAAAGTAGGAAAAGTACCACTTCCGGTTATCGGAAATCGCTCAAAAGTTGATACGGATCTACGATTTTGATGAAATACTTATATATGAAATTTCATCAACCTAGCTGTAACGGTACTCAAGTTATCGTGTTTACACACGGACAGACAGACAGACACACACACACACAGACATACGGACAGAATTGCAACGCCCAGTTTTTCAAACTGGATTACGCATAAAACCTCTTAATTTTGATAAATCTGGATTGATAATTTTTGCCCGATTAAAATAAGTCCTCTATACTTCGGATGTGATGAAGGACTGAGGTGTAATACGGTAAAAATTGTTAAAATTTCAATTGATTTTTGTGCACGATTACAATACTTTCTCTATACTTCGTATATACGAGAAAGTAAAAAATAAAAAAAAAAAAAAAAAAATTTCGGTCTTATTACCTATCAGGTTATGCACTTTTTAATTAGCTACTGACCTTTTGTGTTCTTAAAATATAGTTTTTAACATAATGAGAAGGGATGGGTTAGATCACTGTATTGCTCGCACACCTTTTACTGGTAATTGAAAAATCAATATTCACAGAGATTTACGTTTCAAATGTGCCGACCAAAGGTAGTTTTTTAACAAATATCAATGTTTAAAACTTAGAGTTTAAAAAGTTTCCAAAAAGGCGCCACTTTGCTAAAAATGGCCATAGGGGGAGCGGCCGCTCCCCCTGCTCCCCCCCTGCGTACGCTACTGATAATAAGACAAGACAATTAATCACTATATTTAACAACACAAATGAATACATTTCCATATTAAAATAAATTAAAGGGAAACTACTCTAAATAATATTTTCTTAAAATTGACGGTGATTTTGTTTGTTGAGAGTTAACTCAGGATATTTAATTATTTTTATAGGCCTATTGACTACACGATTGTTCAGCCTTTAAATTTAATGGTGATTTATTATTCAATAATAGATTCTAGATACTAGATCTAGATCTAAATCTAAATCTAGTCGTCTATAGGGTTGCCAGATACCTTTTCCGAAAATACTGGACACCTTTCCATCCTTCCCTTCTCAGGTATGCCGCAAAGCAGAAGAAGGAAGGGGGGTAACAGAGTACTATTTATTAATCTATTATTCATATATATTATATATCTACTACTTGTCCAGTATTTATATTTAGTTTATCCTGGACAGTCTGCTCAAATACTGGACTGTCCAGTTCAAAACTGGACACCTGGCAACCCTAGTCGTCTACTAGTAGATCTAGATCTAGTTAGTAGTCACTAGTCTAGTAGTGAGTGTAGTAGTTGCAGTCAGTAGTCAGTGAGTACTGAGTAGTCAGTGTGTACCTAGTTTAGTGTAGGTAGACTGTGTAGAGTGTAGGCCTACTGTGTGTGTAGGACCATAGTTGATGTTTATGCCTAAGTTTAAGAGTTTAATTAATAATAATTAAGTCAACTGTACTCATTATTGATTGTATTGCTTCACAAATCACAAATCACAAGATTAATATTGAATTATTTTATTTTGTATAGCCTAGCTTAGCTAGATCAGAGATCTTGATCTAGATCTCTAGATCTAGATCTAGATGACTAGACTAGATGTGACTTTGCCTCATGATATACATTATACAGATATTGATATATATAGTTATAGCCTAGTTGAGACTTTACTTGTCATACTCACATGTTGCTAGGTTTATGACAGTTTATGTAGACTTTAGTCACTATACTATTTGCATCAGCCAAAAATTAACTTAATCCTAAATATTAAATCTGTCTTTACTCATCTGTAGATTGTAGACTACACTATTAAATAGTATTAATACACTTGCTTAAGCCAACACTTAATATTATTTTAATTAAGTATTAACTTACCTTTGAATTATTGCTAATTTAACCTGTTTTAGTTTATTTTTAATATGATTTTTTTTGTCATTTAGCCTATTAAAATTAATTTGTGCTAAAAAAAAGCACTTGAACTATTGTGCCATGCTGTTTATACAGTTTCAGTGTAAAATAATTTTTATTTACATTTTTCTAGAACATGAAGGATGAATAATCATCATTTTGTTGGAACAATTCCAGAGCTTTTACAAAACAAAGGCAGAAAGCGCTGTACTGTTGGTGGCAAAGACATTTTTGTTGTTCTAAATAATGGGCAGCCATATGCATTTGATAGTTTTTGTTATCGTAAGTGAATATTTGATTGTGGCTCTCTGTGTTTAATTTGTAATTTATTGGACAATTTCTCGTAAAATTTGATTTATATTTTTATATCCTCTTTAATTGTTATCTTGTTTTCCAAATTAGATGCAGGGGGTCCATTGTATCAAGGAGACATAGAGGTTTGTCTACAATTTTTTTTTAATGAAAACATGTTTAATTTTAAGTTTTCATCTGCAGTTCTTGTTGCTTATTGATAACACTACTTTTAAGAACTCTAATAAAAATGGCATTCTGTTTTGTTGTTATAACTTAAATAAGCCAACTTAAATGATAAATTCAAAGCTGTTTTAAGATTAGAGAAATGATTATGATCAATTAATTAAATGATTCCAGGATGTGTCTGGTAAATGGTGTATTGTCTGCCCTTGGCACAAGTATAAAATTCACATAGACTCAGGGGAAGGACTGTACCATGTAAGTTGAAGGGGTGTCATGTGTCACAATGTGTGATTAGATCTTGTTTTAGATTCAAGCTAAATATAGTGGTTTATAAGTGCATTTATTAATATATAGGGCCTACATTTTAAGCTTGTGGTCGTTGTGTAGTTTACTTGGGCTGTATGTGTAGTTTTAAAAAAATATCTTTAACTGGCTTAAGATCCTAATGACTTAAGGTCTTGATGAATTAAAAATATCTTTCAGTCTGTGGACCCCCACACTTAAAGTCTTGATGAATTAAAAATATCTTTCAGTCTGTGGACCCCCATGATCTAAAAAAACCACCCAAACTGTGCTCCAAGGGGAGGAAACAAAGAACTCACAGTGTGATTGTTAAGGGGGAACAACTTTTTGTTGTCTTATCTGACCCCCAGAACCCAGCAGAGTCTGACCAGTACAATAAGCAAGTCTAGTAGGGAGAGAAAGGTTAGATCAGCAGACCAGTGGCCAGGCTAGTTAGGGGAGACTGGTTAGATCAGCAGACTAGTGGGCAGGCTAGTTAGGAGAGACCAGTTAGACCAGTGGCCAGCCTAGAGAGGAGAGACCAGCTAGACCAGTGGCTAGCCTAGAGAGTAGAGACTTGTTAGACCAGTGGCCAGCCTAGAGAGGAGAGACCAGTTAGAGCAGTGGCCAGCCTAGAGAGAAGAGACCAGTTAGACCAGTGGCTAGCCTAGAGAGTAGAGACTTGTTAGACCAGTGGCCAGCCTAGAGAGGAGAGACTTGTTAGACCAGTGGCCAGCCTAGAGAGGAGAGACCGGTTAGACCAGTGGCCAGCCTAGAGAGGAGAGACCGGTTAGACCAGTGGCCAGCCTAGAGAGGAGAGACCGGTTAGACCAGTGGCCAGCCTAGAGAGGAGAGACTTGTTAGACCAGTGGCCAGCCTAGAGAGGAGAGAATTGCTTGACCAGTGGCCAGCCTAGAGAGGAGAGACTTGTTAGACCAGTGGCCAGCCTAGAGAGGAGAGACTTGTTAGACCAGTGGCCAGCCTAGAGAGGAGAGACTTGTTAGACCAGTGGCCAGCCTAGAGAGGAGAGAATTGCTTGACCAGTGGCCAGCCTAGAGAGGAGAGACCAGTTTGACCAGTGGCCAGCCTAGCAATGAGAGACATGTTAGACCAGTGGCCAGCCTAGAGAGGAGAGACCAGTTAGACCAGTGGCCAGCCTAGAGAGGAGAGACCAGTTAGACCAGTGGCCAGCCTAGAGAGGAGAGACCAGCTAGACCAGTGGCCAGCCTAGAGAGGAGAGACCAGTTAGACCAGTGGCCAGCCTAGAGAGGAGAGACCAGTTAGACCAGTGGCCAGCCTAGAGAGGAGAGACCAGTTAGACCAGTGGCCAGCCTAGAGAGGAGAGACCAGTTAGACCAGTGGCCAGCCTAGAGAGGAGAGACCAGTTAGACCAGTGGCCAGCCTAGAGAGGAGAGACATGTTAGACCAGTGGCCAGCCTAGAGAGGAGAGACCAGTTAGACCAGTGGCCAGCCTAGAGAGGAGAGACCAGTTAGACCAGTGGCCAGCCTAGAGAGGAGAGACATGTTAGACCAGTGGCCAGCCTAGAGAGGAGAGACCAGTTAGACCAGTGGCCAGCCTAGAGAGGAGAGACCAGTTAGACCAGTGGCCAGCCTAGAGAGGAGAGACCAGTTAGACCAGTGGCCAGCCTAGAGAGGAGAGACATGTTAGACCAGTGGCCAGCCTAGAGAGGAGAGACCAGTGGCCAGCCTAGAGAGGAGAGACCAGTTTGACCAGTGGCCAGCCTAGAGAGGAGAGACTTGTTAGACCAGTGGCCAGCCTAGAGAGGAGGGACCAGTGGCCAGCCTAGAGAGGAGAGACCAGTTAGACCAGTGGCCAGCCTAGAGAGGAGAGACTTGTTAGACCAGTGGCCAGCCTAGAGAGGAGAGACCAGTTAGACCAGTGGCCAGCCTAGAGAGGAGAGACCAGTTAGACCAGTGGCCAGCCTAGAGAGGAGAGACATGTTAGACCAGTGGCCAGCCTAGAGAGGAGAGACCAGTTAGACCAGTGGCCAGCCTAGAGAGGAGAGACATGTTAGACCAGTGGCCAGCCTAGAGAGGAGAGACCAGTTAGACCAGTGGCCAGCCTAGAGAGGAGAGACCAGTTAGACCAGTGGCCAGCCTAGAGAGGAGAGACCAGTGGCCAGCCTAGAGAGGAGAGACCAGTTTGACCAGTGGCCAGCCTAGAGAGGAGAGACTTGTTAGACCAGTGGCCAGCCTAGAGAGGAGGGACCAGTGGCCAGCCTAGAGAGGAGAGACCAGTTAGACCAGTGGCCAGCCTAGAGAGGAGAGACCAGTTAGACCAGTGGCCAGCCTAGAGGGGAGAGACTTGTTAGACCAGTGGCCAGCCTAGAGAGGAGAGACCAGTTAGACCAGTGGCCAGCCTAGAGAGGAGAGACCAGCTAGACCAGTGGCCAGCCTAGAGAGGAGAGACCAGTTAGACCAGTGGCCAGCCTAGAGAGGAGAGACCAGTTAGACCAGTGGCCAGCCTAGAGAGGAGAGACCAGTTAGACCAGTGGCCAGCCTAGAGAGGAGAGACTTGTTAGACCAGTGGCCAGCCTAGAGAGGAGAGACCAGTTAGACCAGTGGCCAGCCTAGCAATGAGAGACATGTTAGACCAGTGGCCAGCCTAGCAATGAGAGACATGTTAGACCAGTGGCCAGCCTAGAGAGGAGAGACCAGTTAGACCAGTGGCCAGCCTAGAGAGGAGAGACCAGTTAGACCAGTGGCCAGCCTAGAGAGGAGAGACCAGTGGCCAGCCTAGAGAGGAGAGACCAGTTTGACCAGTGGCCAGCCTAGAGAGGAGAGACTTGTTAGACCAGTGGCCAGCCTAGAGAGGAGGGACCAGTGGCCAGCCTAGAGAGGAGAGACCAGTTAGACCAGTGGCCAGCCTAGAGAGGAGAGACATGTTAGACCAGTGGCCAGCCTAGAGAGGAGAGACCAGTTAGACCAGTGGCCAGCCTAGAGAGGAGAGACATGTTAGACCAGTGGCCAGCCTAGAGAGGAGAGACCAGTTAGACCAGTGGCCAGCCTAGAGAGGAGAGACCAGTTAGACCAGTGGCCAGCCTAGAGAGGAGAGACTTGTTAGACCAGTGGCCAGCCTAGAGAGGAGAGACTTGTTAGACCAGTGGCCAGCCTAGAGAGGAGAGACCAGTTAGACCAGTGGCCAGCCTAGAGAGGAGAGACATGTTAGACCAGTGGCCAGCCTAGAGAGGAGAGACCAGTTAGACCAGTGGCCAGCCTAGAGAGGAGAGACATGTTAGACCAGTGGCCAGCCTAGAGAGGAGAGACCAGTTAGACCAGTGGCCAGCCTAGAGAGGAGAGACCAGTTAGACCAGTGGCCAGCCTAGAGAGGAGAGACCAGTTAGACCAGTGGCCAGCCTAGAGAGGAGAGACCGGTTAGACCAGTGGCCAGCCTAGAGAGGAGAGACCAGTTAGACCAGTGGCCAGCCTAGAGAGGAGAGACTTGTTAGACCAGTGGCCAGCCTAGAGAGGAGAGACTTGTTAGACCAGTGGCCAGCCTAGAGAGGAGAGACTTGTTAGACCAGTGGCCAGCCTAGAGAGGAGAGACCAGTTAGACCAGTGGCCAGCCTAGAGAGGAGAGACATGTTAGACCAGTGGCCAGCCTAGAGAGGAGAGACCAGTTAGACCAGTGGCCAGCCTAGAGAGGAGAGACATGTTAGACCAGTGGCCAGCCTAGAGAGGAGAGACCAGTTAGACCAGTGGCCAGCCTAGAGAGGAGAGACCAGTTAGACCAGTGGCCAGCCTAGAGAGGAGAGACCAGTTAGACCAGTGGCCAGCCTAGAGAGGAGAGACCGGTTAGACCAGTGGCCAGCCTAGAGAGGAGAGACCAGTTAGACCAGTGGCCAGCCTAGAGGGGAGAGACTTGTTAGACCAGTGGCCAGCCTAGAGAGGAGAGACCAGTTAGACCAGTGGCCAGCCTAGAGAGGAGAGACCAGTTAGACCAGTGGCCAGCCTAGAGAGGAGAGACCAGTTAGACCAGTGGCCAGCCTAGCAATGAGAGACATGTTAGACCAGTGGCCAGCCTAGAGAGGAGAGACCAGTAGACCAGTGGCCAGCCTAGAGAGGAGAGACCAGTTAGACCAGTGGCCAGCCTAGAGAGGAGAGACATGTTAGACCAGTGGCCAGCCTAGAGAGGAGAGACCAGTTAGACCAGTGGCCAGCCTAGAGGGGAGAGACTTGTTAGACCAGTGGCCAGCCTAGAGAGTAGAGACTTGTTAGACCAGTGGCCAGCCTAGAGAGGAGAGACTTGTTAGACCAGTGGCCAGCCTAGCAATGAGAGACTTGTTAGACCAGTGGCCAGCCTAGAGAGGAGAGACCAGTTAGACCAGTGGCCAGCCTAGAGAGGAGAGACCAGTTAGACCAGTGGCCAGCCTAGAGAGGAGAGACCGGTTAGACCAGTGGCCAGCCTAGAGAGGAGAGACCAGTTAGACCAGTGGCCAGCCTAGAGGGGAGAGACTTGTTAGACCAGTGGCCAGCCTAGAGAGGAGAGACCAGCTAGACCAGTGGCCAGCCTAGAGAGGAGAGACCAGTTAGACCAGTGGCCAGCCTAGAGAGGAGAGACATGTTAGACCAGTGGCCAGCCTAGAGAGGAGAGACCAGTTAGACCAGTGGCCAGCCTAGAGGGGAGAGACTTGTTAGACCAGTGGCCAGCCTAGAGAGGAGAGACCAGTTAGACCAGTGGCCAGCCTAGAGAGGAGAGACCAGTTAGACCAGTGGCCAGCCTAGAGAGGAGAGACCGGTTAGACCAGTGGCCAGCCTAGAGAGGAGAGACCAGTTAGACCAGTGGCCAGCCTAGAGGGGAGAGACTTGTTAGACCAGTGGCCAGCCTAGAGAGGAGAGACCAGCTAGACCAGTGGCCAGCCTAGAGAGGAGAGACCAGTTAGACCAGTGGCCAGCCTAGAGAGGAGAGACCAGTTAGACCAGTGGCCAGCCTAGAGAGGAGAGACCAGTGGCCAGCCTAGAGAGGAGAGACTTGTTAGACCAGTGGCCAGCCTAGAGAGGAGAGACTTGTTAGACCAGTGGCCAGCCTAGAGAGGAGAGACCGGTTAGACCAGCACCCCATTCCCAGGTTTTTTTTTATGCTTCTGTGGAGTTCCACTAGTCGAAAACAGCTGGCATTATAAAAGAAGGGACGCAAGTGTTAAAAACTTCGCTTTTAAGTTTTTGATTGAATTACTTCCCCTAAATCATATGAACCCATTTTGAATTGATGTTACTATTGTATGATCACATGAAGAACTTGTCAATACAGAATCATGCTGAGATGGCAGAAATTGTCAGGTACTGTTTAAATGATGGATATATTACCACATAAGAAAGTCAGAATAGTTTTTATCTTGGTCCCAATTTGTAATTGGAGGTTGTAGTGTAGGGCAGTTTATGATCAAGACCAGCGAATCCGTGTGTCGTTCAATGGGGTACATAATGTTTTATGTGGTAGGCATACAAAAGATTTGAAATACTACACGCATTGTAATGCATAGTACTACAATTGTGATGGATGTTGTAGGTATACACATTATTTTATGATCAACATCAGGTTTCTGGATAAATCATCACATTTTTTTTTCTTTTAAATAGATGTAAGAATTTCCCTGTTTATGTTAGCATGAGGATCAGGCAAAACTATGTCTATAAATGGTGTATGTTAACTTTTTATTTAACTGC